GACTCCCTCTGTTTTCTAATTTTTTTTACGTAATTAAATTTGAACCGAATAAAATTCGATTCAATTGACATGAATTTTGATTCAATTGAATTAAATTTTAATAAATCAAATTTTAATTGACACGAATTTTAATAAGTAAAAAAAATATAAATTTTAATCGGCACTAATAACTTAGATAAAGTTCAAATAGGGTCAAATTTTAATATGTTAAAAATAAATTTTAATAGGCTCATTTTTTTTTTAAAATTTACCAATTAATAAATAAAAAATTAGTATTTACTGACAAATTATTTATTAAAATTGTTATTTACGAATTTTTTTTTAAATTTTAACGGCTCGAATTTTGATAAAATTTTATGTAGAAAAATTACTTGAGGTTATGTAGGGGCATTTTTAGTATTTTAGATGAATTTTTTTTTTTAGAAATGGTAGTTTAATGGTAGAGAATATCATTGATGTTTAAATTAAATTAGAAGGAATATTATTAAAAATTTAGAAATTAGAGTGGATGTTAGAGAGGATGTCTTCGAAGATGCGTAAACTAGAGGGGGCGTGAGTTCTATCAAAACCCCTCGGTATCGTGTATGCGCAAATCTCGAATCTTCCTACGCAATAAATCTTTCTTTTTCTCTCGGCTCTCACTTCCTAGCCCAGTTCTCATCTCTCTCTCAAACAGTCGTAGCTATGTCTCAGGTAAATCTTCATTTACACTCTTCAATTCATTACTTTTGGATAATTTTCTTTAAAATGAGATTACTTTGTTCTAGTGTTATACCTGTCTCGATTGAATGCGACTTCGATACATATCTTTTTTTTTATTTGAATAAACCAATTAGGTTTTGATTGAATTTCCGGGTTTTCATTGAATTTACTTTGTGTTTACCGTTGTTTTCTTGATTTGAATTTCATTTTAGTGCTGTACGTCTCGATTGAGTTTAGTTTCGATGATCATTCTTTTTCCTATTTGAATAAACCAATTAATTTTTTTTTATTGAATTTCCGGAAATTAGGTTTTCATTGAATTTACTTTGTGTTTACCGTTGTTTTCTTGATTTTTATTTCATTTTTAGTGCTGTACCTCTCGATTGAGTTTAGTTTCGATGATCATTCTTTTTTCTATTTGAATAAACCAATTCGGTTTTTTTATTGAATTTCCGGAAAAATAGGTTTTCATTGAATTTACTTTGTGTTTACCGTGGTTTTTGTGATTTGAATTTCATTTTAGTGCTGTACGTCTCGATTGAGTTTTGTTTCAGTGGTATTTTTGTTGATTTGAATTTTATTTTATGTTGTACCTCTCGATTGAGTTTAGTTTCGATGATCATTCTTTTTTCTATTTGAAGAAACCAATTAGGTTTTGATTTAATTTTACTTTGTGTGTTCACCGTTATTTTGTTGATGCGCTATTCATTTTAGTGTTATACCTCTTCCAAATGAATGCGACTTTGATGCAGATCGTTTTATATTTGACCAATTAGGTTTTTTAGTGAATTTCCGGAAAATTAGGTTTTCATTGAATTTACTTTGTGTTTACCAGTTTTTTTTTTGATTTGCTATTCATTTTAGTGCTGTACTTCTCAATTGAGTTTTGTTTCGATGATCATTCTTTTTTCTATTTGAATTAACCAATTAGGTTTTTATTGGTATGTTTAACGTTGTTTTGTTGATTCGCTATTCATTTTAGTGCTATAACTCTCAATTGAGTTTAATTTAGATGATCAATCTTTCTTCTATTTGAATAAACCAATTAGGTTTTTATTGTATTTACTCCTTGTGTTTGACATCATTTTGTTGATGCTCTAAATGGTGTGATCTATTTGTGAAAAATAAAAATTGCAAGGTTTGGAGTGCTTGACTTAACTGATTTTTAATTATGATTATCGTGTAATTTTGTTTTTATGATGTTTAGGAGGACACTAAACATGTTTTGCCATCCAAAGGTATGTATTTCTCTATTACGCGGCCTCAACCAATTGCTTGTCAGTTTGTAAATACATAGATTTTATATGTATGTACAAGTGCGTATGTCTGAGGTTTTTTAATTTGATATATATGTGAAGTATTTTGTATGTATAGTATTATGTAGCTGTATTTTGTTAGTACAATTGAAATGTAGCCACATAACAGTAAACATTATTGTTTGAATTGGTTTTTTTGTTTTAATTGATTTGAAAATGCAAGTTAGATGGTCTTCTTTCTTTTTCTCTGATAGGCAACAAACTTTTATTAGAAGAGAGAAGTAGCAAGACATCTTACCAAAGACCGCTACAAACACATAAAACTATGTAGTGGAGGACAAAACATCCTACTGAAAATCAAACTGAAGAGTTTTTGAAGGATTAATGGGTGGGTGGGATGTATGTAAGCATTTAGTGACGGTTTGAGTTCATATATTTACAAGCTAGCTGAATCTGATGTACCCCGATTCTTTGCAAATATCGGATTGGCTTTGTCGTCAGTTTATGTGACCTGATTGCAATTTTTATCTCTCTGGAAAGTATGACAAAGTTTTGGTTATTCTTCCCGCGAATTAGGAAATTGTTTGTAAAAATTTATTAAATTCCTTTTTATTCAGTAGAAAAGAAATGTATTGTTTTCCCATTTGTTTTGGTTTTAAAATGAAGACATAGAAAGTAAAACTTATGTTAGGCTAACTTTTATTTGAAAGTGATTTTCAGTCTTAAGGTGCAGTTAACCTCTTCTCTTCTACGTGGTGGACCTGACGTTGCCTCACACTCATGTAATTGTATCCTTTGACCCGTGAAGCTCAGTATGCCAACCACACGAGTATGCGCAGTTGTATCCTGTGAATTGTGACCCATGCATGTCACACAGATATCCTTGCTGATACAAGTGCCCAATGGCACCATCTTCTTTTTCCAGTCTTGAATAATGGAAGCAAATCAAGAAGATACTCATATTGTATTTGGTGAATCTCCTTTAGAATATATATGCACATACACATACTTCATAGAGAAAATTGTAAAAGAAATGCCTTTAGAAACCGACTCCTATCTTTCCCCACCATCATCATACGTATCTCTTCAACCAACATGGGACATGAACACAACAAATTCACTGTGATGGATATTGCCGACAGAAAAAGAGTCAACATCAACTTCACCAGGATCCTTGAGAGAGAGAGAGAGGTGTTTTATTGTACTAATAATAATATTCATTCCAATGGATTCAAATAGTGGACTAGATTCAGTTTTGATGCTTTACCACATTAGTAATTTAATGGAAGGTTGCCCAGCACCTCATAATAGAAACACACAAAATTTGTCTGTTGGATGCCAACTTGAGAAATCAAACAGAATTATTAGCATTTAGATCCCCAAAAATGTATAATGAACTGCCAAGCACCTCATAATAGAAACACACAAAATTTGTCTGTTGGATGCCAACTTGAGAAATCAAACAGAATTATTAGCATTTAGATCCCCCAAAATGTATAATGAACAAAAATGCAAAACAATTGTGAAGTAATAAACCACCTCTTAGTACTAATTGCTACTGTACTGCATTCTGACCTTAATTTCCAGAGTAATAAAGATTTCTTGTGAATCGATCTTAGCTCATATACCTTGATGAAGGGGGATTTTGCCTACACAATGTCCTCAACTGCTGAAAGCTTGAAACCAACAATAGAAGTACAATGAAAAAGTTGGAGTAACCTATCAATGGGGGTGTAAATGGATCGAAGCTTCAGACTGAAGATTTATTTCATGATAGATGATTTGACTGCCTAATAAATGTGGGGTCATTGTAATGAGGGTTTTGGTTTGGGGCCTTAAAACATCAAAGACAATATGTAAATGTATTTTTCACTCATCTCTCTTCCCCTCCCCCCCCCCCAAAAAAAAAAAAAATTCCTTCTCTGCTCCAAGCAGTTCTCGTCTTGTCCATTCTTCTTTCTATGCCCCATGTGCGTATGTAGTAGTTTTACTCCTTTGATAATTTTTGGGTGGACTAATTAGAAGGAGGGGCCAAGGGAAGAAGGGAAAAGAAAAGAAATAAAGGCAAAGAAACAAGGAGTTGGATATTGATAGGAACTTAGTACATATCGGTTTGACATAGAAATTGAAGAAAGAGTGTCGTGAGATCAGAAAGAATCAAGAATGGGAAAGTTATAGTGACCTCTTTTGCAGATCTCATTTGCCTAGATATTAAAGTGAAAGGCTAGGGTCTGAAAAGTTGATTTCTAGCGTTTTTGCTCAAATGTTGATCATTGCCCCTGTCGAAGAGCATGAATGTGGGGAGCTTCTAGCCTATAAAATGAAAATGTAAAGGCTTATTGATGAGCAATTTATTTTTCCCTACTTCAAATACCGAATTTCACTTTTCGAGACTTCTCACAAATTTGAATTCATGGTATAGTGGGAACATTGCGTGAAAAAGTAGTTCGGTTTTTCGAACCAGACTTTTAATGCTATCAAACAAAGAGACAACAAACTGAATAAATGTTGGGATCATTATTGGGTGGAAGGGAATCCTATTTCTCTCTTATGCAACTTTTGCCATTGATATTGATGGTTGACTAGAATTCGTAATAGATATATTAAGACCACCAAATCTTGCTTTTAGAAATGCATGCAATGGCTTTAATGATTGTGTATGTAAGTGCTATTTAAGTTTTAGGACCATTGCATAGAGCACTTGAAATCTTTTGTTTCTTATATGTTCTTCCCCTTGAAATGGTGGCTTGCCCTGTATATGGTGTTATCTAGATGTATTCTTATGGATGAGTATTTCGGACTAACACCCATATTTTTCTCCAGAAGAAAAGAATGTTACAACAGAGAAGAATAATACATCTGAGTCGTCGTCTGTGGAGAGACAATCAGGGCAAAGAGGAGCAACCTCAACTCCAGGAGATGGGTTTCCAAATCCCTTTGATTTCTCTGCCATGACTGGCCTACTTAATGTACTTCTTCTTTTCGATGTCTTTGCTCAAGATGTTGATGAATATAGGTTCATTACATGTTAAATTACATAGGGTCTTTAATCCAACATTTTTTGGCACATTGAAAATTTTCTCCAGTTGACCGCTTTGCCTTTTTTTTTTTGATAAATTGGTTTCAATTTCTTCCTTTGTTTTCCCTAATGAATTTCCTTTGAAAGGCTCTATCTTTGTTTGGTTTCTCCATGCAAAATGTAAAGAGAAAAATGAGAAAAAAAAAAGAAAATCTTATTTCTGATTCTATTTGCAAAGATGAAAACATTTCTGCAGCTTCAACTACCAAGAATATTGAGGGTGTTGGCTACTGGAGGTGATGGAGGAAAAAAATAGTTGAGGGGGGCCAGAAAGTTTGTAATCAGACCATCCCCCCCCACAAGGGTAATAAAAAGGCCAGTTCTTCAGACAACTGTGTATTGCTGGAAAACAAATGCTATACAATGGTCTATATATTTTAATTTGAGATAAACCTCCATTAAAAATAAAAAAAGATTAGAAAAAAAAATTATTCCCTGGGGGACTGTTCCTTGAATATGTAAAGACACAATTTTGGCATTTACTTATCTAAATATTAAGATATATTGATCCTGGCTAATTGATTCAATACCTGATCTTTTCAACTTCCACTTGAGTAACTAATAGGTCGACAATCTCATGGTGGTTGTGTTGTTGATGCTCAAAGTTCAAAATATTTTGCTTTGAAAGTTCATATACAGTTGTGGACCTGTGGTACATAAAATATTCTGAATATTACATTCTCAGACCATAGTTGTCAAAATTATATTGAAATTGGCAAACAATGTGCACATATCAAAGTGAATGTCAATATTGAAGCATCACTATTCCTACCTGACCATGTTTCAATCAGTACATTCTACATTATTGCCTCAGCTTATCTTTTATATCCAAATGCATTGATTTTTTATTTTATAATGCGACAAACTAGGATCCAAGCATCAAGGAGTTAGCTGAACAGATAGCAAAAGATCCTTCATTTAATCAGATGGCAGAGCAGCTCCAGAAGACTTTTCATGGTGCTGCAGCCGAAGAGGCTGTTCCTCAGTTTGATACACAACAATACTATTCCACCATGCAGCAGGTGATGCAAAATCCTGAATTCATGACCATGGCTGAGCGCCTTGGTAATGCGTTGATGCAGGTAATCCCAAAAATTTAACTTGTCTATGTTTCTCATGCAGAAAATAACAAGAAACTTGACATCTTCGGAGTGAAATTTTTGTTTGTGCACATTTTCAGGAGCCATCCATGGCCCAGATGCTTGAGAGTTTCTCTAATCCATCTCATAAAGATCAGCTTGAAGAAAGAATGACTCGCATTAAAGAAGATCCATCTTTGAAACCTATTTTGGAGGAGATAGAGACAGGAGGTCCAGCCGCAATGATGAGGTTGTAAATTGTGCGCAACATATTTTGAACTATGTCATTTGTCAAACCCTCATGGATTTTCTCGTTTCCCCCTGAATTTTCTCTCTAATTACCTCGTCTTCTATTTCTCTTTACACAACACACACACACACACATATACACTTGTTTTATTTTTCTCTTAATACAAACACATACCTCACTTGCCACACACCCATGTACGTGGGTGAATGTCCAGTTGCTCTCTCTCTTTTTCCGTTTCTTTCTTTATTCCTTTTCCTATCCCTTGGTTTTCCTTCTCATTCCTGCAACATTCCACACATTCAAGTTATTCAAGATGATCTCTAGCTAGCATCATAAGATAACACTTGTCCCTTGATGCTAAGTTACATGTATTTATATTTTTTTCACATGATTTCTATAAATTGCATATTTACTTCCTACCATACATAAATAGCTAAATGGCATTGGGATCATCCTAGGTCAAAAAGCAGGCAATAGAATATATATATATTTTTGTCAAAGTTCTGAAAGAAAGCATTTTGCTTATTGATTGGTAAATTTGTGAAACAATTTTTCTTATTTTTGGGGCAAGAATCCATCTGGGTTCAAGAATTCACCCCACTGAAAGTTGTCAGAAATTGGCTTCGAGAGAACTCTTAAAAGGAGGAGGATGCAACGAGTGAGCATGTTAAGCTACGCTTGAGCCTAAGTATTTCCAGAAGGGGTAACTTTTGTTGATAAGTTCCCATTATAATTTTGGTCTTTTCAATAATTGACAACCACTATAGCTTTACGAGATAACGCAGTTGGTAACATTCATCATGATCTGGAACATCAAGGTTTATTTCCTGACTTAATTCCTTCCTGCCTGTAGTTTGCATATAACCAATGAAGGCCACTAGGGATGCCCTTAGTGGATTTTGTGTTGTCTTGGTGGAGAAGAATACTACTGGATTGTATGCCTTTTGCTGCGATGATGACAATGTGCCCTTGGTTGGGATGATGACAAGTCTCGCTTGCAAACTAAGACTCTGGAGACTAGGGGTCCTACATTGTTCAAGTTGTTAAAGTGGTTTGTTTGAAGGGGATCTACAATCAACTCAACACCTTTTGGGTGAGAGTTTGAGAAGAGTTGCTCTTTTGTTAGCACAGACATGAATTAAATTCTCTTCATCTTCTTTTTTCTGAAGAGAAGCCCACCACTGAAACCATCCTTATGACCACCGAGTTTTTAAATGGAGGGGAGTTGTGTAATACCCTGTCATAGAAAATTAGACTATTAATTAATCATAAAATGAGTGTGTTAAATTGCAATCTACAAAACTGTTAAATTTCCATTTGGGGTCAAAAGGTAATTATGGAAGCGAAAATGGAAAAAATTTGCATGAAGTGACCACAACCACCTCCGTATGTTTACTGGTTGTATCTTTGATGTGGCCTTGTATTATAAGTGAGTGGGAATAAATGGGATGAAACCAAAAGTGATGGTAAGGGTTAAAACAAACACAGAAAAAAAAGAAGATAAGAATGAAAGAACTATTGGGGGACCAGAATGTGGGTTTATGTAAAGTTGTTGTTATGTATTGATAATAATAATGTTGTGGATAAATTACTTCTCTGGGAGACTAGAGCATAGCCTATGAGTGTTATTGATTGTCTTCAACAAGGGAGACCTAGCTTTATTACTGAAGTTTACAGGGATTGTGAGGACGAGAGCAATGGTGATGATAGTTTTGCTCTATTGGATGATGAGAAGTGGTTCATTTGAAGAATGAGAAGATGGATTTATCTTTAGTAGATAATAAAAGAAAAGGAAAGAAAAAGAGTGAAGGAACATCAGCGAGGAAAAATGAGGGAGTGAGGGAACTAAAAAATCTAGAATAAGGGGTTAATTATGGTTGTATTTTGTCCAAGAAGAGTAGTGAGGGGAAAACGAGTTTGTTATAAAGATTATTAGTTAGAATGTAAGAGGTCTTGGTTCTAAGAGGTAAAAATGTTCAATAAAGGAGTTGTTGCATAAAAAAGTGGCAGATGTAGTAACTTTGCAAGAAACGAAAAAAGAGACAATTAAAAGGAAATTGATTAAAAGGGTGTGGGGTTCTAGATGCAATTTTTTTTTTTGTCTTCAGTTGGTAGATCAGATGGTATTGTGATTATGTGGGATGAAAGAGTTGTTAAAGTAGAGGAGTCTGTAGAGGGTGAGTTTTCTATATTGGTGAGGATTAAGCATATGGACCCTCCGCTTGGTAATGGTACTTTTACTTGGTCAATTTTGAAGAAAATTTAGCTTGTAATAGACTTGATAGATTTTTCTTTTTTGTTGAGTGGGAGGATTGTTATTCAGGAATGAGACAAGAGTTCTTTTGACAGTTGTATCTGATCATTGTCCTATTGTTTTAGATTCAACTAAGATTAAGTGGGGTCCTTGTCCTTTTAGATTTGAGAATATGTGGTTAGAACACCATGCATTTAAAATACATTTTAGGGCATAGTGAGGGAGAAGATTTTTTTTAGGAATGGGAAGGCTTTAGAGTCATGAAGAAATTAGAGTATGTGAAAAATAAGGTGAAAATATGTAATACATAAGTGTATGGAGATATAAGAATCATAAAAAGTCAAATCATGGATAGAGTTGGAAGGATTTATAAAGTGGAAGAGAATGATGAAATTAATGAGAATTTGAGAATCGAGAGATGGGAGTTAAGAAATAGGTTTGAGGATATGATTTTCAAGAAATCAATAAGTTGGAGACAAAAGGTAAAGATGAATCGGGTAAAACAAGGGAATAATAATTTAAAGTTTTTTCATAGAGTGGCAAATGGTAGGAAAACGAAGAAGTTTATTGACAAGCTAGAATTGAAACACGGAGAAATTATTGAGAAGGAGATGATTGAGATCAGGATTGTAGAATATTTTACACACTTGTATTCATTTCAGGCAGAGTGTTATACCGAGGGTGGAAGGTTTAGAGTGGAGCTCTATTGACGAGGGTAAGGCTAGATAGTTGGAAAGACCTTTTGAAGAGGAGGAAGTGAGGGAGTCCATTTTTGAGTGTGGTAGAGACAAGGCTCTCGGTTCTGATGGATTTGTTATGACTATTTATCAGAATTGTTGGTAGGTTGTCAAAGTGGAGCTATCGAAGGTTTTCAATGAATTTTTCCAAAAATGGAGTTGTTAGTGCAATTACCAATTCCACTTTCATTTGCTTGATTCCCAAAAACGAAAAATCCATGAGCATGTGAGAATTTAGGTCGATCGATTTTAGGCCAATCAGTTTAGTATCTAGTTTTTGTAAGATCATTACAAATGTTCTATGTTTGAGATGAAGGGAGACTCTTAGTGAGTCTATTGGTGAGTGTCAAAAGGCTTTTGTGAGAGGTAGAGAAATATTTAATGTTGCTCTTGTGGCTAACGAGGTGGTGGTGGAGTATAGGGTTAGGGGTAAAGAAGGTTTTGTGTGTAAAATTGATTTTAAGAAGGCTTATTATTTTGTGTATTGGGATTTTTTGGATTTTGTCTTGAAAAGGTGAATGGATATGAAGATCGTTGGAGGAATTGGATGCAAGGATGCTTGAATTTTGCGAACTTCTCCGTTATGATCAATGGGAAGTAGAGGTAAATTTAAAACATCTGAAGGATTAAGACAGGGTGATCCTTAATTGCCTTCTCTCTTTAGTTTGATGGCGGATGGGTTGAGTAGGGCTGAAAGTTGTAATCTTTAGAGGATTTGTGTGGATAAGGATAGAATTATGGTTTCTCATTTTCAGCATGCCGATTATACCATATTCTTTTCTATGGGAGATGAGAAGAAAATCTAAAATACTATGAATATTGTGGAGGTCTTTGGCATGGTTTCGGAGTTAAAGGTTTCTATGGATAAAAGTTTATTTGTGAGTATTAATTCACACCGTGAAAAAATAGGTAAGTAGCAGGATTTTTGGGGTGTAAAGTTGGGGAGTGACCTTTGAAGTATTTAGGTTTATCTTTGGGTGAGAATTTATTGTCATTATTTTTTTTGGGAATTGGTGGTGGAAAGAGTGGGGAAAAGATTAGAGGGTTAAAAGAGAGCATACATATCTAAAGGGGGTAGATTAACTCTCTTGCAGATAGTCTTCCAACATACTTTTTATCTTTGTTTAAGATGCCCGGAAAGATAGTCTGGAAGATTAAAAAAATGATGAGAAATGTTTTTTGTGGGAGGGAAGTGGCTAGGGAAGGAAGGAGCATTTGATGAGTTAGGAGGTGGTGTTTAGACCAAGGGATAAAGGTGGTCTTTCGAATGGTAATTTGAAGGCTAGAAATATTGCTTTAGTGAGCAAGTGGCTTTGTAGGTTTCCCTTGGAACAAAATTCTCAAAAGGCATTTAGTTATTAAGAGCCAAATATGGTTTACAAGCCAATGGAAATTCATATCTCAAGAGGGGAAGTTTTTTGGTTGTCCATTCATCATGTCCTCCATTTATTCAAGCTATTAATGATTTGGAAAGTAAGAGTGCCTATTAAAGTGAAAGTTTTTGCATGGACTGTTGCACATGGTAAAATTAATATTAACGATGTGCTTTTGAAAAGGAGGCCAACAACTTGTCTCTCCCCTTAGTGGTGTTTAATGTGCAAAAGTGGTTACGAATGCATTGAACATTTGTTTTTACATTGTCCTATTGCTTTGTATTTGTGGCATAAGTTGTTTAACTTGGTGGGCTTGAGTTGGGTGCATCTCAAATCTTCCATATCTTTGCTTGTTAAAGATTTGAAAGGCTTAGGGTCTCTTAAGGGTGTTACTCTATGGAATTGTGTTGTAATTGCAACTTTTTTGGGTTATACGGAGGTAGAGAAACACATGAATTTTTGAAGACTGGTGCGATTGTCTGAATGGTTTATAGGACTAGATTCATTTCTTATCGTCTTTTTGGGCTATGGGCTTCGGTTTCAAAGAAGTTGAGAGGAGTCTACTTTTTGCTTTACTATTTGGATGGAAAGCTTCATGTGATTTATAGGCTTTTTATGTATTTCCTTTGTAATTTTTCTCTTTTCTTTTCACTGCTTTCGTATTTGGATTCCTTATCTAACATTCTTGATGTATTTCTGATTTTTAATACAAGAAATTATGTTTCCTATAAAAAAAAAAACCAAAAAACAATGGACATGTGCATGTGTCTCATGATGTGTGTGTTGTGTCAATTAAAAAACCGTGTGTAACGTTCGTTATGAATGGAGAAGAAATAGAAACGAAAAAAAAATCAGAGAATAGAGGGAAAATTGGGAATCACATGGTGATCCTTGCTTCTGTTCCTACAATATCAAAGAGGTGGTTCTCACTAGTAGATGTTGAAGTTTATTGGTATTGTTTGAGAATTGGGTACATGGAGTGATTTGGAGTGATTTATAATGTGGACCATCCTAAATCTGTGCAAAGTATTCCTTTTTTATTAGTTCTGAGATTGTAGTGCTATGGATTATGCTGTAATTATTTCGAAATTCCATTTGAATTTCCAGATGCATAATATAGAAATTTGTGTATAGTTTTAAAAAGAAGTTTTATTAAAACAATCAATTGAATACGTATTACAGACTTTCTCAATACGGTATTTTTAAAATTAATTTTGGTTTAGGTACTGGAATGATAAAGAGGTTCTGCAGAAGTTGGGTGAAGCAATGGGTCTTGCTGCTGAAGGAGATGCTGCCACTTTTGCTGAAACGTCTGGGCCAGATGAAACAGAAGAAGGGAATGAGGATGAATCCATTGTTCGTCACACTGCTAGTGTTGGTGATGTCGAGGTACATTGATCACGATTTGTTGTAATACTGCTCCTAGGTGCTATTTATTTGTTGGCCTTGTTTTCTTCAAAATGTATCATCATATTCTGATCTCTATGAAGAGGATGATAACAGTAATGATAAACACATCACAGGCATTTTTTTCATTTACATTGCTATGATGGGCACCAGAAGCTATCATCTGTGTGCTCCAAATGTTTGCTGCTCTTCTTCATAGTAGTCTTCTTGTAATTTGAAATTTTAAATTGTCTTGGGAAGTACCTGCTTTAGAATTAAATGTGGTCAAAATTATCTTGTTAGAAAAAGATGCATTTGGATATTATAAGCACAGCCTTTTGGTGTCATGTGGTTATAAGTAAATCAAAAACATGACCTCTTTGGTGAGTTAATTTCTAACTAGATCATAGAAGTAGATATATTTGGAAATATTTACCTTCAATGTTACTTTGAAGCTGTGGGTGTGTCATGTTCATGTTACACTGAGTAGGGTAAGGCAACTGATGCTGGGGGGGAACAATGGATGGTAAATGCTTAAGATTTGTCCCCTGGAATTCCTTGCTGAATGCTGTAACTCTCCTACTGTAGTCTTTTTCTGTTGGTCTTTAGTTAGCTTGTTTCACATACATAGTGTTCATTTTTGATAGGAAACACAATTTTATTAAAAATAAATAATGTGGTATAAAATGAACTTGAGGATGGACAAGTTGTCCATCCAAAATAAAATCCATCAAAAAGCACTACATAGGAAAGATAAAAAACAGAAGATAGCAAACTAATCAATCATAGCCTACCTTCCAATTCTCGCCAAAATTCCAAAAAGAGGTATTTGCAAACTCCTATGAAACCAATGCCCAAAAAGTTGCTAAAAAGTGAATTCGGTTCCATTGCCCTTCAACTACCTCATACTTGTCCTAAAAAATTCTTGAATTTTTTTCCAACCAAATCACTCAAATAATGGCCAAAAAAATGCACATTCCCAAAGAATGACTCCTTTACTTTTCATTCCAAATTCTTTGTAATCCACGCACAACATTGTTGATATTGTACTTGGAGTCACCCAAGAATACCCCGCCAATTCAAACAACTTATTCCATAAATATTGGAAAATGCAAAAATAATTGGTTCACATTCCCACGATCTTTCTTGCACATAACACACCATTGAGGGTAGAGGCATGTTTGAGGTCGCCTTCTTTGAAGCAACTCATTAGTGTTAATCTTCCCATGAGCAATAACCCATGCACAAACTTGCACTTTCAAAAGCCCCTTAGCCTTCCATATCTTCAAAGATGAATAAAATATTGGGAGAGTGATGTCATCAACCATGGAATCAAAGTAGGATTTGCAAGAGAGCGAGCGTGTTGAATCAATGATCCAACTTCTTTTGTCAATTAACTCTTGATGTAGAGCTGCATTGCCAAACAAAGAAAGAAAGACGACCAATTCCGATGTTTGGGGTGGACATACGTGGTAATTGTTGTATAAAAAAAGATATGTGATAACTAATGAAAATTTTCGCCTGTCTAATCAATAGGGTTTGAAGAAGGCCCTAGCCGCTGGTGCTGATAAAGATGAGGCGGATTCAGAGGGAAGGACAGCATTGCATTTGGCATGTGGATATGGCGAGGTATGGTTGTCACCTGAAATGAACCCTGTTTTAAAACCGTGATCTTTCCTCCCCCAGGATATATGATTTGCTTTGGTATTCATTGCTGAAGGATTTAGTCTGACAATTGGATGAACACATTATTTCGGAGCTGACAAACTTTTTACACTATAATATTTGAATTTCACAAGTCCTATGTGAGGAGTATTTATTATCTTTGAGCTTGCTTACTTTTAAAACCATCATCCTTGGAGTCCTATGTGAGGAGTATTTATGGACCTCGATCTGCTCCCTGAAGTACCTCATATTTTTCTTTCTTTCCTCTTTTTTCTTCGTTGTTTTCTGCTACTTTTTTTTTTCTTCTTTTAATTATTTTATAAAATTCCTTTCCATAAGGTTATGCTGTACTTACCATGTGTAAGCTAGTTTTGGAGCTCTCCTTTTGGTTTGTTGGGCCTTGGGTTATAATAACCTAGTTGTCTTAATCTCTATTTATGTCTTTCACCCACTTCACAATCCGTGCTAATATTGTTTTTTGGAGTTGAGAAGTCAAGCACAAACATACCCAAATTATTCTTCTGATATACTATCCATAACGTTTTTTTTAACGATGAGGCACTTATCCAAGGCCACACGAGACTCGTTCTTACAACGGATAACCTGCAATCACCCACTAACCATAGATATTGTCTAAATCTGGGAGTTGCCATTGAGAGTTGAACCTAGCCTGTCTGGGTTTGTGGTTCGTCTCCAAGCTAACTCTCCACCACTCAGGTTACCCATGCGGGTATGCTAACCATGAAGTTGTCAGCAAGGTATCTGTTCAATTTGTCTCAGTGTTGCCTTCCCAACTTTTTGGTTATCAGTTTCAGCGGGCTTCCATTTTCTGTTGTCCTATTCCCAATTTGGTATTTTATTTTAGAAAAGAAAAGACAACGAGCAAATTCTATAAATGCTGTTCTTTTCTATCCTAGATGGGACTTTAAGGAGAGATGTTAATAATCCTAACTAGTAGGTCAACTAGCTTTATTCTTGGCATTTGTAGCCATTGTGGACAAAGAACAAACGTGCATTTTCGTTTGTCTATACAGCATCATCGGTTTTATTTTCATATTTTAATCAATATAGGCTAAGCAGCATAATGTTCAAATTTATACTTAGCAGCAGTTCTCCTAGTCTTCTAGCTTCTTTGTTAGGAGCTAACTAGATGCCTTTACTCAATTCAAGGTCACCTGTGCTCGGGTCCTACTTGAGGCTGGAGCAAGGGTGAATGCTTTGGATAACAACAACAACACCGCTCTTCATTACGCATCTGGCTATGGCAAGAAGGAGTGTGTAAAACTTCTACTGGATAATGCTGCCGCTGTGTAAGCCAACATATGTTTGTTCAACAAATGTCTGCCGCTTGCAGGTTTTAGTTGAACTCATTCTTCTTCTTTCTTTTTCCTCTGATTTTTCCCTTTTCTTGTTGCAGCACACTTCAGAACATGGATGGGAAGACACCTATAGATGTTGCAAAATTAAACAGCCAGCATGATGTATCGAAGCTGCTCGAGAATGTTGTATTTCTATAACTTGAAAGGCTTGTTGATTCATGTACACTTGCAATCTTCTGCCATGTTACGCTATTTGTTTTGGTGAGCAGCTGTCATCCCAATTCGTGGCTTTGTCAATCTTAGGTTTGATACTCTATGATTGCTACATGCCCGAATTTTCATAGTCATATTGCTTGAACAATCTTTTAAAACCAACGTTTTGACAATGTGAAATGGATTTAAATGGCCGAGGAACTTCTTTTGTCTATGTGTATTTGATGTTCAGAGTCGGGAGCCAATGTGATGGTGAATATATTTCTAAAGTGACTATCCATTGCTAAACATTGAGATACGGCTCGAGTCGTTCCTACTTGTTTTTGAGTCTGTAAAGAATCTATCTAGACGGGGACTGTTGTTTGTGCATCTTTGATGTGTAACAATTATCAAGTTGATGCCAACTGTTTCTCCAATTGAACTATTGGGATGCCTTACTTGGGGTCATGTGCAACTTCTCTGTGATGCTGCTAGTCTTCGATTTCTCTTTGCAGCATATGGAAAGCACACAAATTGAAGTTCAGTGCGCGAGACTCGGACCAGTGCTAGTCTATGGAGGCTTCCCACTATGCTTTCATTGATATTAGGCTGCCCATTGATTAATGCATGCTTCCATGGCTCATTTGATGCGACTAGGATTTATGTGGGTATGGCCGTATAGGTAATGGTGGCTTTGATGCAACTAGTATTTTGGTGAACCTTCGGGGGTGGTTCAATGGTCAAGTCTGATCTTGGTAACCCAGAAGTTTTAGGTTCAATTTTTTTTTACACCCTTTAGGTATTAGTCACTATTGTTTGTTTATGAGCATGTTTTAACCTAATATAAGTTACGGTGGTCGGTATAAATATTTTTTAGCTAAAAAAACAAAATTGAGATTATGATGTGGTTTTAGTTTTGAGATTTTTGGGTTCTAAAGGAGGAGAAAATATTTAATGTAACAGTGATATAATTACTGTTATGTGATATCATTAACCAATTTTGAAATATCAAGTAAACTAAACGATCCTACTATTCCAATAACTATTCATATTCACTCCATTCAATAACCTTCATGCTAGCATAGTGGGGTTTATTTAGTTTACATAGGTCAATGGTATCACGTATCAATGGTGTCATGACATCATGGTTACACCTAAAGAAGGGAGAGGGCATAAAAACAGGAGAGGAGTGTTCACTTTATTATATATCCAACTCGTTGGTAATTTAACTAAACATCTGTTAATCCTTAAATAATCAAGTATACAATTGACAATACCACAACACTACCGCGCTCAACCACCACCACGTCTGCACCATCTCAACCATGACCATTGGCTCACCACAACCACCTCACCATCAACATGACCATCACGTCCATCGCCACCACTATCTTCTAATGTCACAAAATCTCACGCTTATGTACTAGAAGTGGTCTAAACCTGCTCACCATAAATTCAAATAAAACTCATAATATTTTTAATGAATTTTGCTGATAGTGTGGGAAAAAATTAAGTGAACTTAAGCACTAATGGGGATGAACATACAATGGGGGTGGAAATAAAACGGTATGAAATAATGAATTTAATAGTTTGATATTAGATAATTTAATGGGGGTAAGAATGGAGATTTATAAGGTGAGGGAAAAATTAAAAAAAAAAACCTCTCCTTTGATACAAGGGAGAATTACACCTAGACCCTTGAGGTTCGTCATTTAATCATTCAGACCCCTGACATTTAAAATATTACACACAGACCCCTTAATATTTATATACGTGTAACACTTAGACCTTTGTTGAAAATATATCAATTAATAAATTATTTTTTTTTTTATTTATTTTTTCTTTTTTTTGGGGGGAAAGGGGACTTAAACGCTTGACCTTAAGAAGACAAAACCTTCACAAGACAAGGAGTACCATTGGACCAAAGGTCCATTAGTAATAAATTATATTTAGACCCTCTGAAGTTTGTAAGTATATAATATTTAGACTCTTTAAGTTTAAAATATTATATTTAAAATAAAAATACTCCAATAAAAGATAAAATATTAAATATTTTAAATTTTACAACCAAAATTCATGTTCTGTTGTATCATTTATTGAAATAAAATCAACAATAAAAATTCAATTTTTCTTAAAAAAAAGTAATTAATATACAATTATATTGTCTATTAGAATTTAATTTGGTCATTTAAACGATCAAATAAAAATATTAAACTATCTCAATTAAAGCTAAAAGATATTGTGTCTATTACAGATTGACTCATTGTTTAATTTTTTAATTTTATTCTAATAGATAGTATAATCATATACTAACTATGATTTTTTTTTAAAAAAATAGATTTTTATTTTTAATTTTATTTCAATAAATGACATAATAGAACTTGAATTTTGGATGTAAAATTCATGTTCTACTATAAATGACTTAGAGCATCTCCAACAATGGTATCTAAAATAACTACTCAAAATATATTTAAATATTATATTATATAACTACTTTTTCATACTCGCTCCAACAACACTATTTAGTTTAACTAACCACTTCAACTAACTTTCAATAAAATCCAATGCAATTCAAAGGCAATTCAATAAAACCCAATTCAATATCATACCAAAAATAACAAAACAATTTGAACTACTCCAATTAAACAATGAGATCTCTCAAACAAAACTCAATTACACAATGAGATCTCTCAAACAAAACCCAATTCAATATCATACCAAAAGGAACAAAACAATTTGAACTACTCCAATTAGGATTTTATTTTGAAATTATGTTGAAAATTTAGGACTCTTATGGTCTTAATAGAAATCTAAAGGCTTCAGCCATTCAGACAATGAACATCACATTACAGAATCCAGGTAAATTCTAACATCAATACAGAGTGGCCGTTGGAAGTTGGAACGGCCACCACCCCCACCCTCCTGTCAGCACCAACATTTAGTTAGAGGCCTCAAAAAACCACAACCACTCAAACTTGTCTTGGAGCATTTTCCCAATTTTTCTGAAGAAAACGGAGGAGAAAGAAAAAGAAAAAGAAAAAGGAAAGTCACTAGATTAAAGAGAATACACAGCGGCCATTGTTGAAGTCTATACAACCTGCAGCACCATCATTTTTTCTCTGTTACCATCATCCTAGAGCTTCCTCTCGAAGACGGTGGTGTTTGCAGGCGGAGACGGTAAATTAATCTCTCTCTTTCGACACCCATTTCAAGCTATATATCTGCTTTAGAATTTTTTGGGTTAGAAGGGGTTAAATTCCAAAAGCAAAAAGAAACAAAAATCCTAGAATTGTGAAATGGGTTTAAAGCAGCTGACTTTCTTCCATCAATGAGCTGAACTGTTTGATCATATCTTGTGTTATCATCACCATTTTCTCCCACACTTTCTCTGCAGAGAGATTCCAAACCCAGGTTTGATAATCTGATTTTCTTCGCTTTAAATACCCAAACCCAAATCGATGGTCTGAGCAGCAAATTTGATGTACCCAAACCGAAAGAATACGTACCTGAAGCAGCAAATCGATGTAGCAAACCCGAAGCTTTGAAGCAAATCAATGGTCTGAGCAGCAAATCGAAGTCTGAGCAAAACGATGGTCTGCGAGGCGCGCGAGGGAGCAAATCTGAAGAAGTTTTGTGGTCAATCCAAGGAGATGCAGAGAGAGGCGCGCGAGGGAGACGCGGGCTAGCTAGAGTTATCGAGCGAAAAAGGGGCAACGGGAAATAGACAGCCAAATGTCTGTTGGAGCCATATTTTGACAGAAAACTACCTAAAATAACTAATGGAAAGGATTTCCCTAGCCTCTTGGAGATTCCCTCATATTCTTTTGATTTTTTAGTTTTATTCTAATAGATTGTAATATTGTATATTAATTATGATTTTTTTTTTAAAAAAAATTAATTTAATTTTTATTTTAATAAATGATACAATAAAATATGAATTTTAGTTATAAAATTTAAAATATTTAATAATTTATCTTTGATTAGAGTATTTTTGGTATAAATATAATATTTAAACTTAAGTGGTCTAAATATTATATATCTATAATTTCAAGGGTTTAAGTACAATTTATTAACTGATATATTTTGCAGTAGAGCCTAATTGTTACGAGTGTACAAACTTTAAAGGGTTTGTATGTAATATTTTAAATGTCATGGAGTCTGAGTGATTAAATGACAAATCTCAGAGGGTCTGAATATAATTCTTCCATGATATAATTAGCAAAAAAATTATTTTGCGTCCTAAAATATATAAAAAATTTTAGTTTGTCTCTCAATTATTAATTTTTTTTATATTGTCTCCTCAAAAAAATAAAAATATTATAATGTGGTCTATTGTCTTATTTTAGTTTGATTATTTGTTTGTTTTGTGTCAAATTAATCAATCAGGAATTACAAAACAGAGTACGATAAAATAAAAATAAGATAGAAGAATTACATTACAATAATTTTATTTTTTTGAAGAGATAATATTAAAAAATTAATTATTTAAGAGACAAATTAAAATTTTGGGTTAATCTCATTTTGCACCCCGAAAGATTGTTCGAATCTAATTTGCGCCCTCAAAGATCAAAAATCTCAATTAATACCCTCAAAGATAGAAATTTGTATCAATGTGCACCCCCAAAGATCAAAAATTTTAATTTGCACCCTCAAAGATAGAAATTTATATCAATGTGCATCCCAAAGATAAAAAATCTCAATTTGCACCCTCAAAAGATAGAAATTTGTGCACCAAAAAATTAAATTGATAAATTATACCTACATCCCCTCATACTTGTCACTTAATCATTTAGACCTCTTCATATTAGAATATTACTCTTACATCTTATGACATTTGTGCACGTATAACACGTAACCCATTTTCATTGATATCTATTAATATAACCGTTAAAAAATATAATTTTATCCTAACAAAAAATTATAATTTCATATTACCCTTTATTTTATGGGTTTAATATATTCTAAAGTTCAAAATCTAGTTTACCATTTGAATGTCTAATAAAATG